TACACAATTGATGTGTGTATGGATTGGGATAACAGTTGTATGAGCCCCTAATAAAATGTTTGTTTTTTTTTTTAAAGAATAAGGTAGACCAAAGGGAAAAAAAAAAAGATAATGCAAAATCAGTTGCAGCAGCATATCAACAGGGAGCTGCCAGAAATTCAAGTTGGATTCAGAGGAGGCCATGGAAAGAAGGATATCATTGCTGATTGTCAGATGGATCTTGGCTGAAAGCAGAGAATACCAGAAAGTGATTACTTGTGTTTCATTGACTATGCAAAGGCATTCAACTGTGTGGATCATAACAAACTATGGACAACCCTGAGAAGCATTGGAATTCCAGAGCGCTTCATTGTGCTCATGTAGAACCTCTATATGGACCAAGACTCAGTCATTCAACCAGGCAGGAATTCTGCCTGGTTTAAAATCAGGAAAGGTGTGCATCATGGTTGTATCCTCTCACCATACTTATTCAATATGTGATATGTATGTAGAGCAAGCAATCTGAGAAGCTGGGTTATATGAAGAAGTCCGTGGCATCAGGATCAGAAGAAGTCTTATTAACAACCTGCAATATGCAGATGACACAGCACTTGCTTCTTGAAAGTGAGGCGATTTGAAGCACTTGCTGTTGGAGATCCATGACTGCAGCCTTCAGTGTGGAGCGCAATCAGTGTCAAGAAACCCCAAATCCTCACAACTGGACCAGCAGACACCATGACAACCAGACGGAAAAAAACGGAAGTTTTCAAGGATTTACTCTTGCTTGGGTCCACAATCGCTGTTCATGGAAGCAGCTGTCTCAGGGATTGGACTCTCCTGGCAGGATGTCCAAAGTCCGTGAGACTAGGTCTTGCCGTCCTTCCTTTAAGGAGCACTGTGGCCTTACTTCTTTCAATACAGACGTTGTCCGTTTAGCAGTCTGGCACTTTCAGTATTCTCCAGCACCGCAATTCAAATGCATTGATTTTGCTGCGGTCTTCCTGATTCAACGTCCAACTTCCACATGCTTATGATGCAGTGGAGAATCCCATGACTTGGATCAGACACACTTGGTAATAGCCAAGAAATCAGATAGTGTATTGCATTCGGGAAATCTGTGCAGGACCTCTCTGAAATGTTGAAGAAGGAAGGGTGTCGCTTTGAGGACTAAAGGTACCGGACCTAATTCATGATACTTCCAGTCACCTGGCATGCGTGTGAGAACTGGACCATAAATAAGAAAGACCGCAGGAGAACTGATGCTTTTGAATGATGGTGTGGGTGCAGAAAGAGAAACGCGCCATGGCCGCCAGAGCACAAACATCTGTCGGCGGAGTACACCAGGATGCTTCTCAGAAGCGAGGATGAGGAAGGAGACTTCATCTTACACACTTTGGACCTGTTGTCAGGAGAGACTAGTCCCTGGAGAAGGACTTCATCCTTGCTTGGTAAATGCAGGGGCAGTGAAAAGGCGGTAGACCCTTGGCAAGACGCATGGACACAGTTGCTACACCAATGGGCTCAAACTTAGCCACTGTGAGGTTGGCGCGGGACCTGGTGGTGCTTCATTCCACTGCACACGGGGTCAGTGTAAGTCAAGCTTGACCAGGCGGACCCTAGCAACAGAGTGAATCAGGGCCTCAACACTCTAGGGTGGGTGAAGGTTGGGACCCAAACCTGCCTGGTCGCATGCTCTCCTTGCTCCGCCGTCCAGCCTGTGTCTTGCTTCCAGTTCTCCAGCTCAAATGATGAGCATTGTGGCTGTTTCGTGTGCCCCACACGCACTGCGGCAGCTGAGAGTCCAAGGCAGGCAGACGCCTCCTGGACAGAGCCACCAGTTCTGAGGCCCACCCACGGCATCCCGAGGTGGCCCACTCCGTTCACCTGCTGTCTCCCCCCCTCACCCTCTGCCGGGTTCCGGGAGGTGTTAGTGACACAGCCTCAGTAAACTGAGTGTGTGGGGCTTGTGGGGGTTTGTGGAGATTGTATTTGTGGGGTTCGTGGGCTCATGGGAGTTCATGGGGATTGTGGGAGTCGTGGCTATTTGTGGAGTTTGTGGGAGTCCGTGGGTTCATGGGGTTCATTGATGTTCATGGGGTTTGTTAATGTTCGTGGATTTCGTGGGATTTGTGGATGTTTATGGGGCTCATGGGAGTTCGTGGGGTTCATGGGAATTATAGGAGTTCGTGAGTTCATGGTAGTTTGTGGAGTTCATTGATGTTCATGGGGTTCATGGTAGTTTGTGGGGTTCATGGCTGTTCATGGGGTTCGTGGGAGCTTATGAGGTTCAGGGAGTTCGTGGGGTTCATGGAGTTTGTGGGATTTATGGAGTTCGTGGCAGGAAGGCTTCTAAGCTGGCTGAGGAGCCATGTACCAGGAACAGGTTCCCCTGGACGGTGAGTGCGGTGTCCTGACCTTTGTCCCGTGTCCCTCTGTGTCCTCGGCCCTGAGGACTGGCAGGAGCATGGGTGCCGGGCGCCCGCTATCCCCTGCCTCTCCCTCATGGCTGTGCTGCCTGTTTCAGCCCCGAGTCGTCACCGAGGAAGCAGGGGCACGTGACAGCCGAGGCCCAGGGTCAATGAGGCTCCTGGGAACCCCATGGCACAGCTGGTCCTGGGGAGCCCCCCAGGGGTCTGCACCCCAAGGTACTCTTGCCACCCTCAGTGTTGGCATGCCCGTTAAAGTAAGCACAGATTTCCTGCACTTACTAACTTGCGGTGGACAGTTTCATGTACATTTCATCTGTCCATCCATGTGAACTTTCACTGCAGATTAGTAAGCTCAAGGAAGTCTGTGCTTACCTTGCTCACCCAGCATGCTGCCCCTGAGAACCCCATGCCCGAAGCCACCTCTGGACCCCAGCCTGGCCTTTCCTGTATGTGGAGTCAGCATTGAGGGGCCCCTTCTGGGGAGCCCTGTGTCCAGCCCAGGACCAGCCCAGCCCACTTTGCAAACAGACCCCTACAGTCGACAGGGCCCATGGCTGTTTTTCAGAAGTGGCTCACCTGGCCTATCTTCCTAGTCCCTTGTAATCGGGGTGGGGGTCTCCAGTGAACCTGTGGGACTCGCAGGCCTCCCTCGGCAGGTGGTGCTTTGTGCGTGAGCAGCCCTGGCCTGGAGTCGAACCCCATCTTCCACACGGAGGGCGAGAACGCTAGTCTGGGCCTCTGCTGCCTACTAGCCCTGGAGGGGACGCTCTGATCCTGGGGCTCGCCTGCTGCCCTCTGGCTGCTTCCTGGGGTTGGGATCTCCCCATGGATAGACCCCACACTGCTGTCCCCAGAGGCGGCATGCTGGCTTGTCACAGGCATCTCCATCACCTCTGGGCCTGTGGCCCCTCCTTCAGGAGGGCCCTTCTCGGGTCTATCTGAAAGGCCCAGGTGCCTAACAAGGAAGGCTCGGTCCCCTGCATGGACACTTGGTCATGTCCACCTTCCTCACCCAGGAACAGCCTCAGCCACCCTGTCCGGTGCTGAGCTGCAGAGCCCTTGGGAGAGTGGCCGCTTTCTCAGTGGTAGGAGAGGGGTCAACCATGGGCACCTTGCAGACCACCCACTTACAGACCCTCTGCCATGGATTGTGGAGGCCTGGGGGCGTTGGGCCACTCTCAGGGAGCACCATGAACTCCCTGACTTTGTACAGGGTGCTCCTCACCTGGGTGTGCCTGCTCCCAGAGCTCATTCCCACTCTGGGACCCCCCAACACAGCCTCAGTCCTGTGGCGCTGTGCACCTGGGGCCTTGAAGCGATGCATGAGGTCCCCACACAGACTGGGCTCCAGGAGGAGGCATGGGGGGTGGGCGCACAGGGACCAGTTCCTCATGTCCACCCACTTGTGGTGGCAGGCCTGGGGCAGCTCTGGGACTTGAGATGGACACATGTGGCCTCCAGGTGTCCTTCCTGTCCTCCCCCCACCCCTGGGCCTTCCCAGCGTTTCTCAGCAGAATCATGGGACACCGTGTCCCCACCTCTGGCTTCACTCACCCCCAGAGCATGCTTATTTCTTATCATTATGGAAATCACTGTCCCCATTATGAGACCAAGTGCATCATAAGAGACGGTCCAACAGTTTGTATCCTCAACCCTCAAGGTCAAAGGAGTCACTCACCTTGCATATTTGTGTGGGGCCAGACTTCAAGGGAAGGTCCACAGGAAGGACCCCAGGGTCTGGCATGTGTCTGGTCAGTCCTGCTGCCACCTTTACTCTCAGAGCGTAGAATGGTCTGGAAACACTTCAATAAGAAAAACACGAATCATCCAATTAAAAATGGGCAGAATGGTACTAAGTTCCAAAGTGGACACTTTTGACCTAGTTTCTGCCTAGACCCTGGTGACCCAGGCTGCACACTATGGGCACCTGGGACTTTAGACCCTGCCCCGCGAGGCTCCCGGCACCCTTCATAGCATACACTAGAAGGGTCTGGTCTGGAAACCCCGGTAAGCGGGCAGGGCTTCACCTTGCACTCACCTGCAACAGATTTAAGGAACGGAGCTAGTCCCTTGGACTTAAGGCTGAGAAGAAGGGGTGGAGTCTGAGGTCACAGGACTTGGGTTCAGATCGCTTGGTTTGAGGGTGCCCAAAGAGCGGTGGCCAGGGACCACCGCATGTCCCCATTTCCCGCTCCCTTTGCTTTTCTTGGTGACGCGTCTTAGTCCAGCAGGCATGGTCTTTGAGAAAGCATGTCACTGACCATCTGCCCTGTCTCCCACCCCGTCCCCACTGCTGTGTAGACAGGGTCCAGTCACTCACGTTTTCTCAGTCTGTACAAGTCAACAAAGCCCCCGCCACACGCATACTTTCCTTTTCTCAGCCGTGTTTTAAATTCTAAACCATTGGCTAACTTCATGATAATCATCCCCTGAGGGTGTATGTTAGACAAGGTTCTCCAGAGAAACAAAACCAGGACACTTCTGATTTTATATATATTTAGATAGATAGATAGATGATAGATAGATAGATAGATAGATAGATAGATAGATAGCCTAAGAAATAAACCATCTATAGAGCAGTACAAATGGCTCAGTGCAACTCACTTCCATGAGACAGCTAATACACTGGCAGTCCTTCAAGTCTTGAGGGCCGTCTGTTGCAAGTCAAGGAAGCAGACAGACAGCTGAGTCCTCTGTAGAGCAATTCAGGCTATCCTGCCACAGACACAAACAACACGGCAGGTCACCAACAGTCAGTCAGATGACAGGGTCCGACAGTCCCCAGCTCAAGTGATGTATACTCCAGTAGCATGGTGAAGCAGGTCTTGAAGGAACCTCAAACTACAGTGACACAGTCCATGAGGTGTCCCACAGCTAGTGTAGCTTGCAAATTGAAGCACAGAACAAGCTAAGGCAGCTGCACACTGGTCCGATCATCAAAGAGCAAGAGACAATAAAGGTGAGGCTCGCAGAGCCATTTAGCTCTCCGCCCCTTCAATTAATCTCACATGTGTTCATTGGCTAGGTTGGCACAATAAGCCTACCTATCACAGGGTGATTGTAATGCTCCCCAATAAAAGGAGAATGAAGCCCTAAAGTGGACAAGGGACATATATAAACCATATTTAACTGAATGGCTCTTGAGCTCATAATGAATTATAGCCCTAATGTAAGAACACTCAGTCCTTAGGATGTGACCCTACTCACTACCTGCCCTTATGAAGAGATCACTGGAGATAAGGGTGCTATGGCCACCTGGTGAAGTCAGACGGTGCCTGACTATCAGAAGGAATAGCATCTGGGCTCTTACAATCATGTCTTACAAAAATCAGTCATCTAAGTGAAGTCTCAGCTAAATCCACACAGATGAAGCACACCCACCTGTGTGATCTAAGGATTGTCAATAGTAAAATCTAACACGGGAGGAGGGAAGGGAATGATATTAGAGCATAAATTCTGAGCGTCTGGCTTGCAGACAGCTACGGATGATGGAGAAAGCCCAAATTCCATTTGCAGGGGCCACACATGGATTAAGCCTCTCATGAATCCACTGTGACCACTGACCAGGGATGTGGACAGCTTTGCTATCAGACAGAGTACATTGGAAAGCGGATTACTATAGATGTAGTCAGGTTGAAATGTCACACCTTATCATCTGATCTCCCTTGTGACCCATTTTCAAATTTCCCTAGGTTTTAGTATTTTCTGCTTTCCTTTCGATTGAGGGTTTTCTTCGTTGTATCTTGTTATCATTGGATTCATTGTAGGTATATTTTCTGTACATGAAATCCAGGATGAGTGCATCTATCGAGAGAGAACGGATTAGTGGTTTCTTAGGGTCTTGGTAGGGAGCCTGGGGGTGGGGGGTTGGGGAGCTAATAACGAGGACAAGAAAGGAGACTATTCTGACATTGTGGCGTGATTGCTCAACTGTTTAGTAGCACTGAATTATTGAACTGTCTGATGCGTGAATTACAGCTTAATAAACTTTCTAAAAATGGGCAGAAGACATAGAAGGACAGTCCACCAAAGCCGAGGTCGCGGCGGCCGGCAGGCACAGGAAGGAAGGCTCACCATCACGGACTTTGTGTGTGAGAACTGCCCATGCGAACCACGAAGCCGCACTCCACACAGTCCTGATCGCAAGTTCCAAAGAACAGAAGAGAAAGTGACCCATGCCAGGCGGGTGTGGAGCACTGGGGACCCTCAGACCTGCGCTGCCATGGGGGACAGCAGCACAGCACCGGCTCACACACAGGACAGAGGCACCGCTGCCTCGGCCGTCCCTCTACTCAGCAGAGACCTTGAGACCCAGAACAGCACACGCAGATGCGTGCACACCGCGTTGATCGTCGTCGCGGAAACAGCCCGGATGCAGGTCTGTGGAGGAGCGTGTGCACACTGCGGCTGGCTCGTAGGGAGTGCCAGTCCCAAAGACGGGAGAAACTGTGAAACCTCGTGACGGAAATCGATTCGTCACTCCGCTAACAAAGACAACCACTGGGTGAGACTATAAAAGAAAACCAAGAGCAATGGTTTTCACACCAAATGAAGCCGCTTTTGCTGGTTACGAAGAAGCCGGTGGGCGAACGGGGTGGGTGGCTGGCGGAAGGAAGAAGAGGGTGGGCCAGAAACGGGATGTCTAGAAGAGATCGACACCCAGAGAAGGCTTATCAGGAGCAGAACCACGTCGCCTCCACAGGTTCAGAGGCATCTGCTGCCCGGGGACTTCCGAAACACAGAAAGCAGCGACTTTGATGAACAAACCGTGTGGTCATAGAATGGTCTGGAAAGCAAGGCCGTGGGAGATGCTTTGAGGATCAGCGGGGGCAGCCAGTCACCCGTGATGGAGCTGCCGCCAGTCAACACAGGCCAGCCTCGCAGAACAGCCAACAGCGCGCCACCGTGGAAAGTTCACAGAGGAAGCAGCCAGCGCCTGACCACCCCCACATGCTGGGCCCGCTCAGGACGGGAAACCAGACGGGGCTTGGGAGAAGGGGCCCAACAGAGACCTGCAGGTGTCGGGGCCAGCCAAGGCAGCAGTGGGCTCCAGCACGATTTGGAAACACACAGCCAAGGTTTTTGAACGAGGTTCTCTGCACCCAGTGGCACAGGGCGGGGGCTGTGGGCGTCACCCCTGACCACACTCCGGGCTTCGGAGCCAGGCACACCCCTGCAAAGGCTCTTCCCCGTCAGCCATGAGCTGGGCATTCTCAGCCCACCCTTAGATGCTGGGGACAGCCCACTCTACGTCTGGAGATGGTGGGGCCCGGGAGGCAGGCTGAGGGCCTGCCTCTTGGTCCTGGGGTGGCAGAGAGGCCACTCCACTGGTGCCCAGAAGGGCGGCCCCAAGAGATGCACCTACCAAGGAGCCTCGCGCTTCCGCCA